ACGACGAACGAAGTTGAATTTTATTTGCATTTCATAACATTTCAACAAATTTGTTTTTTGTACGTTATTATAATCACTACTGAGTAATACCGGTAATCGACAATCTTGAAACGCAGCATGACTGGATTGCGCAACCGTGATCATTTGTTGCTCGGCAGTTGTGTTCGTTTTTACTTTGTTTAGAATATAATTTCGTTACCAATAAAATTAGGAAAAAAAAGTGTATTTGACGTACCAGGGTCGTTTTTTTTTTGAAAAAAATTACTCTGGGTGACATTGCAAGTTTTAGGCGGATAAATTAGCAGGTCACAGTGCATTCTACTTGTCTCAGTATTGACTGTCTCGCCGTACTTCAGATGGGACTTCAAACATTCCATTGTGAAATGTAGATGCTAATAGGTGTTTTTGAAGACAATGGCACAGTATTTTACGTGATTTTACAAGCTCTATGAACTTTGTATGCGGGACAATGGCATCGCAAACGTACACAATGCCTTTAGACCTATCATAATACGGCCGAGTCGCGTGCTCACCGGATGCGTCCCAGGGACTCACCAGTTAAAAAATTCATGCGTCCCACAGAAAAACTATGCTTCCTGGACACGAAATTCCGCGTTAACGCAATCCCTGAGTATTCCACAGTAAACACCAACCTTAAATTTCCTACTTTCTGGATTTTCATTCTCAGGTAGATGATAACGCACTTCAGCGTTTAGTTGAGATGGGCTTCCCTCGCGAGCAATCTATCACAGCTCTAAAAGAACATTCTGATGATGTTGATGCAGCTCTCAATTCATTACTATCTTCACAAAAACAGAGTACAAATCCAAGGCAAGGTAAGAACTATTTGCATAATGACGATACCAACTGCTTGGATCATAATGTGCATGTGTTTATTTTACCTTATTAGGACGTAGATTATCTAAATAAGGAATTAGTATCCCATTATGCACTTGTCACGTATACTTTTTGAAGTTAATTTCCGCTTTACAACTTAATAGTTAAGGCCGTTCGTACCACATTCAAATTTTGTACTACTAAGAATGTTACTGTATAGATATACAATGCATTATGGGAGATATCCTGCCATTGTGGATGATGGAAAACTATTATCACCCTGGAAACTCGCTACCGGTAAATTATTTGTGAAACCTTTCCACAATATTAAGATTCATGTCAATTATAATATATGAATTTGTTCAGCCCATGTCTTTGAGCAAAATTTTATGATATGAAGAAATTATCCTACCAAAGAAACCAGTGTAAAAATGCTAGTTTTGACCATTTTTATGGCATTTTGGATTATTTTATCACAAAAAATGACAGGTGATCCTCAATTTTGTTTTCATTCTGGGTTCCTGGTGGCAGGAACCCGTAAAAATGAAAGTATGGTGAACATGAAATATAATCTTCAATTTAAGCAAACCTTAAA